GTCATATAACATTTTATGATGAGTTAGCTTCTTTACAACTCAGGATTTATCATTAAATATTCTTTCAATATATTTTATCTCATTTCTGTTTTAATAGTAAAGACATAATAATTCTTAATATTAGAAATAACTTGCTCAAAATTTATTTAATTTTAAAATAAATAGCAAAGAAGTACTTTAAATTTTATCTTATATCAATTAATTGATAATAACCTGCCTACCAGTAACCATTATATGTGTCCTTAAGTATTTGGATGAATGCCATCTACCCATTGGGAAAATACACATTTTTGATAGAGTAGAAAGGCATGAGTGGAGTTATTAGCAGTGTGGCATCTTGGCAGTGAGGCAAATATAGCCCTAAACTTGTCTCTTAAATTATCCTGACAAAATTTAGAAGTAATCCTGGGAAAGGTCAAGATGACCTTAGGTCACTGCATGGTAGAATTCACTTTAAAGGAATACAGGAAAAAACAGCTCATTTGCAAAGCAAAATGCACATTTTGTAGTTCCCTGGGGGAGTTGTAGCAAACTACTGCAGAGTTACTAAAACAAGCAAAATGCATTCTCTCACAGTTCTGAAGACCAAAATCATGAGATAAGTAAATTAAGGAGAAAGCATAGGGACGGTAGATGAGTCCAGTTGTCTCATTGGTTTTGGGCTGGCAGAGCAAAGTTCTCCAATGAGTATGAAGCCAGCTGAAGCCCTATTTCAGGAGAATGTGCTCAAGTGTATGAGTTTATCCAACATAACTTAGATTGGCAAATTGCCTGAGGACATTATGAATATTGACTATTGGATTTTGTTCCAGATAAAAGTACAAGGAACAGCCAGACTGCTGAACTTGACTGCTCAGTGTTCCTGCAAGGGTCATTGAGATCCTTCAGAGCTAGTTATAATAATGTTTAATTTTTTGAAAGATATTATGAAGAACTCTCTACCTAGCACCTTATTATAATAACCAGGCTAATTTTTTAAAAAATACAAAATAGTGTCCAGGAGGTATTTCTATTAAGTCTGAAAATTTTATGCATCAGTAACCAAAGATCAGGCCCCATTTGGGTAGTACACACCTTATAAACCAAGGTTTTGGGAAGTTGAGGCAGCAGAATCATGAGTTCAAGGCCAACATGGGATACAAAGCAAAACCCTGTCTCAAAAAAAAAACCTAAGATTAGTGATGTAGCTCATTGGTAGAGCACTTGCCAAGCACATGTAAGGCCCTGTGTTTGATTCGCAGTATTCACTCCACCAGAAAGGAAGAGAGGGAGGAAGGAAGGAAGAGAAGAAGAAAGGAGAGTTAGAGAGAACAAATGACCAACCTAACTCAGTATGGTTGGTCATACCTATAGTTCCACTATTAGAGAGGCTGAGGCAGGAAGATCACTTGAGCCCAAAAATTTGAGACCAGCCTGGGTAACATAGTAATACCTGGTCTCAAAACAATGAACAAATAGAAACAAAACTTGTTCATGGCTCTTCCTCAGGATTTTGTTCAGTCTGCTTGGCTTTGAGAAAGAGTTTCTGTTTTAAATCTTCATGGCCCTCACTCAAGTGGGCACAGACAGTGCCCACACAGATACTCTGTTCTCAGTGTAATGTTCAGTTAATTATATGCAACATTCAATAGCTTTGTGAACAGACTACAGTTAAACATTTCCCCAGTGTAAGAGTAATATAAATCCTCCAACTATAATGTAGGTGTGCCAGGATAAGGTATTATATTGGATAAATTAGGTATATTAAATGCATTTTCCAGTTAATACTTCACCTTATAGGTCTGTTACGAGCTAACACTCTCAAAAGTCAAAAACATCTATCTGTATATAAACAAAGTGGATTTTATGAAACATTTCTTTTTATTAGCAGACTTTTTATTATCAGCATGGTAATAAGGTGTGCACAGTACATATATCTTTAAACATTTGTTATAGAAAGATTTCATAACTGCTCTTTCAGCTCAAGAATTGAATTGTATTGCAAAAAAACAATTCAGTCCTACACACATGCAGACTATTGTGAGGTGCCAAGTGGTGTGTTACGGGGACACTCAGTGAGAATCTTCCAAATAGACTGCTGATAAGGGTGCCTGCTGGAACAACAGGATAATCTAGGTACTCTTAATTGGAGATGAACGTCTTGCTGGGTTTTTACCTTCCAGTTTTATACAGTTTTGCTTGAACACTCAGACAATAAAATCTTGTAGATAGAAAGGTCAGGATTTCTTTATAGTTTGCTGCCAAATTCAACAAAAGAAGACTACCAATAAACTATAATTATGAGAAAAGACTATTTCAAATGAGAGGATAATAGCATTTTGGATAGGAACACATTCTTGAATGCCATACCGCCAGCTGCTCCTGAGCCCCATGGTTTCTGTCATGGACTTTCAGCATATGAGAAGAGTCACAGCCAATGGTCAGAATGTAGACTGTTGGCATGACAGGCACACCAACCTTGTTAGGCACATAGGCATCTGTGCCAAATGTCAATAATGATATCATGATGACATGCTCCAGAGACTGCTCCATTGCTTTGGAGCGCTGGTTTCCACCCTCCTAATGGCTCCTCATGTTGTGGTGATCTCCAGCCATTAAATTATTTTCGTTGCCATTTCATAACTGTAACTTGTGACTGTTAGGAATCATAATATTTTTCAGATGGTCTTAGGCGACTTCTGTGAAAAGGCCCTTTGACCTTCAAATGGGTCTCGACCCACAGATTGAGAACCACTGCCTTAGAGACCATCACCCTCCTGAGGTTGCTTATTATGAAATTTGATGAGAATGGCATTGCCTCTGCCTTAGGAAATAGCATTCTGATAGTGTAGAGACAGAACTTAAGCTCACCAGGGCTGGAAATAGATACATGGGAGGCATTACTCATGTGTGCTTCCAAGACAGGATGGTGGTAAGAGTTTATCTGAAGCCATCCAGTTGTGGAACTACACTAGTCTGCCAGAGCTGCATACCAGAATACCACAGACTGGGTGGCTTAGACAATGGGAATTTACTTTCTCACAGTTTCAGAGCCTGGCAGTCCAAGATCAAGATATTAGCAGTGTTGGTTTCTCCTGAGGCCTTTTTTCCTGGCAAGGGTGTCACCTTTGCACTATGTCCTCACACAGCCTTTGTCTCTGTGTGCATCTGTGTTTCTGGCATCTCTTCCTCTTCCTGGCATAGTGACTCTGTTGATCAGGATGACTTAGGAAAAATAGACATGGTTTCTCTTTGTCTCCTTAAAGGCTGTCTCTCCAGTTACATTCACATTAGGGACTAGGGGCCTCAACATTTACAATTTGAAGAGTACAGCATGGTCTGTAACAAAATGTGTGTAACAAGTTCCTAGGTAATAGCAACTAGTAGCATGTGATCTGGTGTGCTACATTTGGGTCTTAAGAAAATGTCCAGTAATCAATGGACACTTCTATACCAGAGGAGTACAGTGGGTAATCTCATGCTAGGCCTTGTGGAACCCTGTCTCTCAAGACATTCTTTCATCAACAGACCATTGTAGAAACTTAGTGAAAGCTTTAATATATCAGTTTTATGAACTCTAAATTAGCAGTGGTCCACATGATGACATAAACCTGATATGAGACTTCCTCAATGATACACATACTTAAGCTGAATCCTCCTGCTGTCCTTTAGAAGTGGAGCTACACAAATAAGCACCCTGGCCTCATACACTCTGCACCCCTCTGACACGTGTCATCAGCTTCCCCACTATCAGAGCGTTAGCTTCCCCTGCCTTTGACTGAAGGGCTTCAACATGTTGGACTATTTGGGGTTCCTCTTAACTAAACTCAAACATGCTATGTAACCTGGCTGAGATGCACACCCACACACTCTGCCTAGCTAAATCCTAATTATCCTCTGTTCTCCTACAAAGCTTACATGAAAGGTACTTCTTCTAGAAGTGATCCTACTGCTGGTACAGCACCAGGCACATTGGGATTGAAATAGTTGTTCACTGAAAGGATCAATCAACCTCATTTCAGAGGGCTATAATGGTGTGCTTTCATTACACAGTTATGTACCCTATATATTCTGAAGCCTTGTTTAGTAGAAGAAATAGTATAGTAAGCATATTCATGTATATACATATTATTATGCCAAACTTTACATAGTGCACCAGATCTGTGACAGACTGAGCTCTCCTTTCAAATTCTGTAAAGGACTTTTAAATACCTACAGCATCATTTTTGGTGGTGGTGGTGGTGTGTGTGTGTGTGTGTGTGTGTGTGTGTGTGTGTGTGTGTAAGAAAAACAAATCAATAGAATGAATATGTTATAAAACAAAGGAGAGGATTCTCATAGAAAGACCTTTCCTCTTTTCCTCTTAGTTTGTGTCTAGCCAAGGTCAGCTTTTAAAGGATGGTAAGACAGTTAGGTGTTGCTATTAAAAATATCAAAAGCTTCTAGGCATTGGTAGAGCACACTGCTGTTTTTGAAGAGAAGTTTTTCTCAAAAAGAGACTTCAGCAGTAAACCCAGTGATGATAATAGAATTATATAATCAAGTTGTTCCATTGAGCTTTTCCTTTTTGTAAAACTGATAACCTAAAGATTTTTTTTCTTCCAGATGCATCTGCTAGCATGGAGAATGGGACCTTGAGGTTTATATGAAGCACTTCTAAAAAAGGGGGTGGTGTGTGATGGTTTTGGTATTTTTTGTGTTTGTGTGTGTGTGTGTGTGTGTGTGTGTGTGTATGTGTTAAATTTGCTTCAAAGTAATTTAAGACTTTAACATCTGGTATTTTGAAGCTAATCTTTGTGTGTCGAATGCCCTTAACCATTTCTCAATCCCACAGTCTTTTATCTTGCTTCTCCGGCTGTGTTCCCACCACCCCTGATCCTATTAGTAACCCTTGAAACAGCTTCAGACTTACCAAAGTCCTGCTTTGGTTTCAGCTGCTCTTCTGCAAGAGGAAGTGAGTGTTGGGGCTTTTTCTGTGGCACAGTTGTGATAAAGCTGTGGTGGTCTTATCTCTCCCTTAGGTAGTGGCTCTTTATGACTACACAGCAAGCCGATCAGATGAACTAACCATCCATCGCGGAGACATTATCCGAGTGTTTTTCAAAGATAATCAAGACTGGTGGTACGGCAGCCTAGGAAAGGGGCAGGAAGGTTTTTTTCCAGCTAATCATGTGGCTAGTGAAAGTAAGTGCATACTCTCTTCCTGCTATACTAAGATGTAAAACCGAGCCCGAGACTGGATCATTGTCTACCCTGTAATGGGCTGTCTACATAATCATTGTGTATGTTTAACCTACAAAAAAAAAAAAAATGTTCGTCCTCATGATGGAAAAACTGCACCGAGGAGGCACTGGTATGCCAGAGAGTTACTCAGCTGTGACATGGATGTCTGCTGGTTGCCCTGGTCATCCCTGGGGACCCCCAGCCGCTGCGTCCTTCAGCCCCTGCCGCCCTGCCACTGCTGCACACACTTTTGTCAGCTCCTTCCTCTTATCCCAGTGACTCCTCAGTTGACTAGCATCTTAAGAACCTCAAATCCCTGAGCTCTCTCTTCCTATTTGTCCACCTCAGCTCTGGCCAGGGTACCGATTGAGACGGGAGCAGAGGAGGCTGCTTCATTGTCAAGCTCATTAAGCAGCCATTTGTGAAAAGAAAAGTGAACAAGACAAGATTCATTCTGAGGCCTTCTAAGAGCTCAAGTTTTGCTGTGAGGCTTTGAAAGGTGAAAATAGAGCTGCCACAGAATGCCTAGAAATGAGGTGAACTGTCATGAGAGTGGGACTGTGGTCGTACTTCAGAAGGGTGTCCTAATAGCAGCTGGCATGCTAGGGAAAGCCCAGGACTGATGTCAGGAAAGTCACCTGGGAGCCCATGGCCCGCAGTTTATAGTGAGCCATGTGATCTCATCTGTGAAATGAAGACATTGAGCGCCACCAGCTAAGCTTCTCCTGTACAGAAACTGGTGTGGCTCTGATTTACAGTGAAATAGGAAACCCTGCTTTGCATCTGTATTGCCTTTTGTGTCTGTAAAGAACTATTTATTCCTAATAGTGGCTTTTCATGCTCATCTTTGAAACCCCATTTAAACCAAATTATGACTGGACAAAAGTACTGCCAGTTCCTGTTTAAGTTCTGAATTCTGAAAGTAAACGGATACTTTTTTAAAAAATGAAAAGGCGGAAGAAGAACGTGTTACTTGATTGCTGTGCTAGGTAACATCTTTTCTGCCTCCCCCACCGCCCCCTGGTCCTCCCAGAGCTCCACTCCGGGGTATTACTGCAGCTTGTCTGTTGCCCCAACAAACTCCTTCCCTCAAAAGTGCCAAGGATTGCAAAATGAACCCACTTCTCTCTCCTAAAGCACAGTTCTCAGTTTTCGGTGTGTTCCTGGCTTAGTTATTCTCTAAGGAATGACTAATAGCTTGTCAATTTCTTCTGGGGGTGCATTCCATGGCTTAAAGATAATGCAGAATGGAGAAGGCTGTTGTAGGACCAAGTAACTCAGCCACAGAGCTTCAGTGCCAATGCCTGTGACTTTGACTAGGAAGCAGTCTGTTGCCCTCAGATACCAGTGAAAACATTTGCAGATACTGTTTTAATCTGGCAGTATAAGGAGATCATGTGTTCCCAGCAGCATACTCTGCAGAAATAAACCCTCAGGCTTGCCTCTCTTGACAGGCTACGGACATGTGGTCTACAGTAAGTTCAGATCTAATAAAATTTCTCTTCCTTATGTGGCAACTATGAAAGCTTCTGCAATGATGGTTGAAGGCTTTGTAGAGAATTGATTCCTTGCCTCAACTCATGACCATCCTGCAATTGTCAGCATTTCTTCTAGTCACTGTTTCTTGTGAGAGCCTTGTATAGGTAAGAACAAGAGAAAAATCAGAATACCTGAGAATATAATAACTGAATCTCACACTTCAGCAAGTTCTTTTCTTTCCCTTTTATACTATTTGTTGCCGCTGATACTGACTTTAGCAGGGAAAGTCACTCTCAGCAGCATACTCCATTCTAAAACTAGTGGGAAGAATTGTTCTTGATCTGTATCTGAAGCCTCATATGCAAAGCGAGTATAAGTGACTGTATATATGAACAGCATCTCTACCTACTGTTCAACTGAGAACTGCGGCATTTAGGAGGACAGCAAAATAAAAGAAGATAGCACTCCATTGTTGAACAGTCTGAGTCTGTGGATAAGCCACTGAGAAGAAAACAGCGTTTCTCCTATCACATCTGTTACCATTTTCTCAAGATGTAATGAAGGAGTGATACCAGCCCATCCGCATATCCAGCTAATAGCTCATAATCTTACTTATGCAGTTTCACTTAAATAGCAACTGGAATTTCTTAATTCTGAATTACTCTTACTTAAAGTGGATTTTCATTTTAGCCCTTTAAGATTCCCATATGGCTTTTTGCATGCATATGCTTCATGCAGACTCAATAGAGTATGTAGATTATAATCTGAGATTAAAGAGGCTTTAAATTTAAATCTTAGGTATAATCCTAAATCTGTGTTGCTTCATTCTTTGTTCTCAAATTATCCTTCAGAGGACAGTTGTACCTGCTCTTCAGAGCTTGACACACCTTCTGCTTCCTCCATTCGATTCGCCATTCCCCATATCACTATGTCTTTGTTGTTAACTAAGCAGACAGGTTCTTCTTGAGAGCCAAGCCTGTGTGGCTGCCTAGCATATAAACTTGCATACAGCAGGTTCCTGCTAACTGTGTATTGAGAGAACATGACCACATGGTAGGTGAATTGATGCCTTCTTCATTTCTAAAGTCATCCCGATTAAAGCTTTGAAGTCCTAACTAATGGGTCAGATTACAAACTACCTTAACAAGCACATCCTGCATCACTTATCATACAACAAAGAATTGAATATCAGTTTCCTTACATTTAAATATCTGCCCTCCATCTCCATCGTAGTTTGTTCTCTGGTGGAACAGTACTCCTGGCTTTAATTAAATGAATTCCCATTTTCATTCCAGCATTGTATCAAGCATCACCTCCAGAGGTAAAGGAGCGATCTCCTCCTTTAACTCCCAAAGAGAAGACTAAAACAGAAAAGCCTTCAGCTTCTCAAAAGGTACATCTTGTCAAAAATGTGTGTGGTATATATGATGCTTTGATTCTTTTTTCAGTCTGTATAATATTCCTTTATTTTTCATGCTTATGATCTTTCATTGTTTATGTGGTTACTTCTTTTGATCTTGGCACCAACGTGAAATATATGAAGTAATTGTTGCAGCCATTTTCCAGATAAGGAAACTGAGGGGGCTCAGAGAGGATAATTTCCTAAACCCCCGAGGCCCAGCCTGTGCTGATGCGCAGCCCACAGGCAGACCTTGTGACTTGAAGCGTGCTGCTTGCCACTCTACACCTACACCTTCAGCTCTCATCCTGACACTGTATCAGCCTCACCTAGAAGGCACACATGGATGCCAGAGGTCACAGAAGTCCACAGAATAAAGACGTTCTGTCCCTCAAATTTTTGTTCCACACATTTTTACTCACTAGTAATTGAAGACACTTTCAACTGTTATGAGCCAAAGAAATGTTATTGCCATTCAAGGTCTGTGCGATCAGAAAGAGCAGTCAGTATCTTTCTGATATGAATAGTATTTCATATGCATATGGTTTATTAGACCTGTTTCATTTGTGACATTAGCTCTTGCCTTAGGCTAAGAAGCCATATCATTTCTTGACTACACACACACACACACACACACCAATATATGTATGTTGTGGTTTTAGCAGTTGAACGCATCCCATGTCAGCCATTCAACATGTCGTTACCTATTTCTTTCATGCTGAACATCCTTTTAGCCCCAAATGAAGCTGGTATAAGTGGACAAAGCAAGTATTCTTATTGGTTTGAAGAGTTGGTGGTAAGCTACCTGTGAGTAGGTAGTTTCAACAGACTTTTGGAACTAGAATGACGATAATATTGCATGTTTCATTGGAAACACATGGGAAGGAAGCCTTCAATTCTGTTCTGGGAAGGCCAGGAATAGTCCCTAAGGGGAAAATGCATAGCCTGAAGCTTGGATGATTTAAAAGAAGTGTCATATGAAGTTAGGAAAAAACATTCCTAAAGAGGGAGAAATTGAGTAAGGTAAAGTATGTCCATGATCCTGTCTGTGGAGTGTGGGATTAAAGGGGTAAAGGGGGCACTGAGCCACGAGCAGCCTAGTGCACTCTGCTAATGTGCTTAGATTGTGCCCTTCAGACGAGGGTTCCCCTGGAGCAGGTGCCCCAGCAGATGATATAAAAGGATTTTTCATTTTAGCATTAGCACAGGCAGTTAGAATAAAGGTAACTAAAACTTTGCGTGAGGAAACTTATTAGGAATACATAGAAATAAAATGCTAAATACTAAACTAGAGGAGATGAGAGGCAGGCAGAAGCTGTGATTGACAAGCTTTTCATTGATTCAGTTACTTCATGACATAGAACATAAGATAACTCTGAGGTCACTAGATTATTATATAACTAAATGGGTGTCAGTACCACAAAATTAACGACCTAGGAAGTTTTGAGAACAGCATAGTGAGACAAGGTGGATAATAAGAGCTGATTTAGATATTTCAATTTGCTGCTAATGTCTTCAGAGATCCCTGGTAGAAAGACTCATGAGTGTCCAGAAAAGCAGGACTGGAATGTGAGAGAAAGTAGAGCTCCAAAAGCAAATGAAGAGGAATAGGGTAGCCAGTCTACCTGCTGGAAAGCAGGGTTGGTAGCCCTAATGATGTCTGTGGAATCAGAAGAAAAGGAAGCCAAAGGCAGAACCCAGTTGACACTAATATTAAGATAGTCAAAAAAGAGTAGATTGAAAAACAACAGGAGAAAAAAAAGACATGACCTGGAAGCTAAGGATGAAGCAAAGAACATATGTAGGCATGTCCAGCTGTTTGACATTATCACACTAGCTTGCTGTCTACAAAGTTCCTGCTTGATAACCATGTAGCAGAGTTACAAAAAGGGAAATTCACAAACACACACTTGCACATACACTTATAAGTCTCTATTATTTTAAATAAGTTATGAGCTTGTGTTGGGCCACCTTCATGGCTGTCCTTGAACATGTGTGATGTTGGCTTCAGGTTAGACACGTCTGCCAGCAAGCATTTGGATTATCTGAGCATTTGGTAGTCAAGAGCTTTGCACCATAATCAGAGTGGCAAGCAAGTGGAAGCATTCTTAAGTTTCACTGCAAAAAAGTGAGGGAAGGAGGGAGGGAAAGAGGAAGGGAGAGAGAGTGAGTAGTCACTGGAGGAAGACAGAATATCCAGTTATTTTTCAAGTGTCAAAGAGACACAGACTGTTATGCTATGGAGGCAAAATCGGGTAGTGATAGATTGTGGAAGATGCAGGATTTGTTTTATTATAGAAGATCAAAATGATAGATGAGTCTTGACATAGACCATCGCTTCTCAACTGGTAGTGATTTTGCCTCCCAGAAGACATTTGGCAATATCGACAAATTTTTGTTGTTATGTTAGCTACAAGGAGCAGGTAGGGTACTACTGGCATCTCTGCAGTATGTAGACATCATCACTTATCCTTCTACAATTTATCAGATAATCAGATAATTGACTAGCAAAGTATGGCAAGAAAGTCAAGCTTAAAACAGCATTCCTTTCAAATGGGGGAAGATTAAAAATCAAAGACTAGAAATAGTGAGAGATTTCCAGCATGCTACACCAGATTGGAGAATATGAAGAAGCAAGAGACAGCTGGTAGACTTAGAAAGCCAGGTTTGCCACTAGGTCTCAAGAAGCTATCTATTCTGCTAATCAACACCAGACTTAACAGAATTAGGCAAATGCTTGTCTTAGGTAAGGGCTGTTACAAAAATTTGCAGTAGTGTATAATGGCTTACATAAGTATGGAGACTGGCAAGTCCAAGGTCAAGGTGCTCGTAGATCTGGTGTGTGTTGAGGGTAGACTTTGGTTTGCAGCTCCATTGCAACCACATAAGACAGACAGCCAGAGAAAAATCTCTCTTGTGTCCTGTTTTGTAAAAGCACAAATCCTACTTGTGAAGATTTCTATCCTCATCACCTAATTATCTCCCAAAACCATCATGGTAAGGCTTAGAAATTTAACACAGGAATTTTGAAAAGATGCACATCATCAACTAATAACAATTCTATATTAAATTTACAACCTGTATAAATCATTGCAATGGAAATACAACGTTAGTATGGGGAGGGGGGCAGTAACACGGGCTTTGGTTCAGTATGAAATGCAGTGAAAGATTCAGCTTTACTGGAGCCCCTGCCTTGCACCATGCTGACCATTGAAACTAAGGCCATGTACTCCTGACTCTAAGTATCTTCTCCTCTGATTCTGTGTCAGCCAGAGGAGATACTGGAAGTTTTCTGTATTTAAGTGCTCCTGTGAAATTGGTCTTGGCCTTTCTCTTCCCGATGTGCCAGTGTTCCTAAGGGACACTTCAGAGAACTCTCGCTGCCTGTACCTCTATTTTACTTCGATAGACTCACTGTGTCATGGTCTTAGTTAGACTGTAGTTTCCAGTTTTGATCTCTATGCTGCAGACATACCTTTACATTCATCTCCCAGCATGCTAGTTCTTCAGATGGCAAACCTAGCCCTTAAAAGTCTAAACCCTAAACATATAATATGCAAATTAAAATAGTTTTTAAAATGAAATCATTAGGCCAAACATGTAGCTCGGTTGTCATTCACAGAGCCTTGGATTGAATCCCTGCAGAAATAAAATCATTAACAATGCTAATGCATAAAGTAAATATCATACAGAGTAAGAATCCATTTGGGCCAGGAAATAGGGACAGTCTCACAGAGAAGATGGAGCTCAGATCAGGGTTTAAAGTCAAGATGAATGGATTTATTTACTTGAAGAATATAATTTGATCTGTCATATATGAATCCATTTGTTAGACTAGAATCCTGCAAGAGAGTAGTAGGTATAATTCAGTTATAGAGTGCTTTCCTAGCAACACAAGACACTGATTCAATCTCCAGCACTTAAAAAAATTAGAGAAAAGAGATACAGAGACAGAGAGAGAGTGTGTGTGTAGCCTCAGAGGAATTTGTTGAATGTGTGTATTAGACAGTGTGATAATTCCTGGAGGAAAAGAGTATGTGAAATGATCTATGCTGATGTTAAAAAAAAAAGGGGGGGTCCCTGATAAACATAATGTTGCCCCAGGCACTAAAATGCTTTGGTTACTCTGAGTCATGAAGCTGACGGCCAACCTTGAGAAATGTGAACCTGAACGTCTCTAGCACCTGGTTAGTTGTATTTCTTAATTAGGTCTTTATCAAAATTGGTATGGCTTGATATTTATCAAGATTCTACCTTATAAATATACCTCAAATGCATCAGAGATTTAATTTTGAATGCAAGCCTTTTCTTATTACCATATATAAGATAAGCTTTTTAAAGAACAAAAAAGTGCCTACCTAGGATCTGCGGGAGGTCTGAGGTCATAGCACGATGGAGCTGATGCCCGAAATCAAACTTCCATTCTAGACAAACCAAGATCCATAAAGTAGAGAGCTCTCATGCAGATGACACCGTATAGTCCCAGCCATGTCCTCTATCCTCTGCCATCTTGTTACAATAGACAGTCATTAAACTCCACAGCCAGATTTTGTGTCACTGTGGTTTTGTACATGCTGCCTATTTAATGTTTGTTTCAATGTGCCTCCTTCACGTGAACTTGTAAGAATTATAGTCTCTATGTGTTAGTTTGGGCTTTGTTTCTGTTGTTGAGATGGGGTCTCATTCTATTGCCCAGACTGACAATTAACTGCTGGGTTAAAGGATTCTCCTACCTCAACCTCCCATGTAGCTGGGACTGCAGGCATGTACCAATGCACTCAGCTTTATTCTCCATACTTTTAAGGAAAAACAGGAAAGAAACCTCATTAACTGTCCTTTTTAAATTTCCTTCTGTCCAAACTATATAGTAAAAAGTAAAGTTACACCTTTCAGTGGCTTGATGGCTACCACCTCCGCCAAGTTCCTCCCTGTGGACACACTGGCTCTATTGCTCTGTGTGGGTACCACCTGGCAGAGTGAAACCGTGGTGGCTC